TGTGTGTGTGTGTGTGTGTGTGTGTGTGTGTGTGTGTGTGTGTGTGTGAGCCTATTACATGTTTAACGCCTGACTTCACACACACCTTCCTTAATTTCACACTTAGTCACCCTGCAATCTCCCAGCACTCTGGTCGCACACACACACACACAGTCTTTTTTCCACTGGCTAGTCATCATTCAACTTAATGTTACCTCGATGCTGCTACATGTCGCCTGCTGATTACTGTGTTGGTTTAAACTAAACAGAGGGTAGGGGGCGCCGAGGAGCAAAGAATATCTCACCGCAGTCGAGACGAGACGATCGATGTGAATCTGTGTTAAAATAAAAACCTCTGAAGGCTCGTTTGTGTTCACGTCTTCTGAAAAACCAGGAAGAAATGTCAACAATTCCAGAACTTTTAGAGGAGGGACTTTAGCTGCGTCTCCATTGAGGACGAGGACGACATGCGTCTCTTCATCGCAGAGAATTGAGGAGGACAAAAACAGGTGGATCCTTCTCGGCCCAAACTATCCCAGGATTCATTGCGCTTCAGTGACTAACAAGGCTTCAACCAAACAGCTAATCACATGCCATCAGCCATCACATGAAAACAGAGCGTGATTAAACCATGTTGTTGTCACAAACTTGACTCTGCAGTGCCCTCTAGTGGATTTATTGCTGAACAACCATGGCGACGTAAAGGACTCATGGAAGAATGTTGGCAGCGACAGTTGAAATGCTGGATTTTGTCAGTTCACAACCGTTTCTCACCTGTATCCATCTGCCAGACGTAGACGGAGCCGTCGGAGCAGCCCACCACCAGGTAGTCGTCCGCCGGGCGCCACTTGATGACCTGTATGGGGAACAGGTGCCGCGACGCCAGCATGATGCACTTCCTCTCCCTGAGGCTCAGCAGGCCGACGGAGTGGTCGCTGGCCACCGAGCAGACGCAGTGCTGCACACGATTCTGCAGAGGAAACGCAGCGCGTTAGAAAACAGCTCGTGTCACGAGTCAGTCTGTCTCACGTCACGTCGTCCATCTTTATTTACAGTCTATGTTGGAGTTCTACTCCCACAACACGACACACACTCTGCGGGTGTTTGTGTGTTCCACATTTGACCTCGAACACCGTGACAAAGGTATTTCTACTGCAACAACATCAACCCTGTAACATTTCATCCTAATGTCAGCAACAAAACACTGTTTTCAGTTCATTCAACAAACAACACAAAGAAAAACATGAGGATGAAAGAAACTGTAGAGGAAGAGAGACGACATTTCCCTCGTGAAGAAGAAAACACGTCTCGGATTCAAACAGTGATGTCAGGCGTCTTACGCTGCAGTTTTCAGGCGGGATGATGAGCTGCGTGATTTCTCCCCCGTGGACACAGAAGATGTGTTTCATCTCCCCGGTGAAAATGTCCCAGACGATGACGGAGAAGTCCACGCCTCCGGAAACCAGGGAGCGCTGGTCATATCGGGGTGAGATCTGGTACGGATACAGGACGCACGTCACCTTGTTCCTGTGACCTCGCAGCGTGCGATGGGGCGGCCAGCCTGAGGGACGGACGGACAGAATGGACATGAGACACTGAGGATATTCTTTCAGAGAAATCAGCTTGATTTGTGACAACAACTAAAATCTAATCAGTGCATCGTTGAGTCCGACACGAGTAAAACTACCGACTCATTGTGCAGAAATCAGATGGTCACTGCTGTTTCGGATCTGGGGTTACCTCTGCGGAGCATGTGCTCCCCCTGCAACAGCTGAACGATAGCGGTCTGAGTGGCGGGAACCAGGATGATGCTGCCGTCTTCTCTGCCACACACCATTCGGCCCTGAGAGGGGATGTACACGCTGGCCGTCACCTGGGGAGAAAAACACCAAAAGATGAACCTGTAGTGTCTCAACAAGGGAAAGAACTGTAATAAAATGTGGGACATGTCTTTTCTCCAGTAATGAATCTATGAAATCCTGAGTTTACCTTGATGGGCTCTTCTCTGCCGGGCAGGACACTGAGCTGGTCGATGATCCCAGCGGACACAGGGGTCAACTTATCAAACGCCTCCTGGAGACTGACGGTGGACGACACCTGCAGCTCTGCAGCGAGAAGAAGACAGAGACAAGTGTTACAGGACGACTTTCATAAAATAAAATAAAATAAGATTTCCTATCAGCGTCATGACAAACATTGGTCACTAGATGTCCCACTTTTACCTCAGGGAGTGAGTTTCTCATCGAACCTCATTCAAACTAAAGGTCATAAGATATTAACATTATTGTTTTGAAGTTTTTCTCTTGTTAGGTTGAATTGATTTTGGAATATTGTGAATTTATATATTTATCACCTGTATTTTATTTATACAACTTTCAGTCTCACGTTTGTTTTTGAACATTTAAGCTTTCAGACCTGATAAGAAAAGTGATTTGAAAGTTGTTTATTGTGGGACTTGTGATGTCACGGCGTCCTTACCAGCGGCGGTGGACAGCGGCTGCAGAGGCGAGGTGTCCGGGACGCTCCACAGGGACAGTCTGCCGGCCGAGTCCCCCTGGATCAGCAGCTTGTGGAAGGGCTCCCGCCGGCCGAAGAAGAACCGAGTCACGGGAGGACAGATTAAGAGCTGCAGGACGACAAATACAGACGTCAAGCACTGAAACCCTGAGGACACACCCACAGAGATCTCTCGTTTTAAAATCAGGAGATGGGAAGAAAACTACTTTGGACGCTTTTGATGCCGTATTGTTTTTTTCACGTCTCAGGTCCATGTGAAGCTGAAATGTTTGGTTTTGTTCTCTGGTCGTTTTTTAATTAAAATCCACAAACAACAGCTCACAGCAAACTGCAGGAGAACCAGACCAAACACCTCGGACTCCCCTGGACCTCCGTCTCCTCCGCAGCCTGAGAAACACGTGACTATCATCTGACGTCAAACACTGACGTCAACGCGACAGGGAACAGACAGGATGTGAGTCGCGGGACTGACGTTTGCCACCAGTGGCTAATTCATTATTTTAATGCTTCACTTAAATCTGCGAATCCTCAAAGCTCCAACGGCTTCCTTATCGTGACGTCATCAGTCACATGACTCTCACCATGTTTGTCCCTTCAGGTGTCTTCTACACCGGCTGCCATCGTCCTCTAACAGGTGAGTTTCCCTCGGCTGGGTTCAGCGGCGCTGAGGTGAAACGTCCGTCCACTGAAGGAAATCATGGACTAAATCAAGAGCCATAGACGGTTGCGTCAAATCTATCGCTCTGGATAAATGAGGGCCTGATGGGAAACTCACCGGGGGTGTCACTGTGACACGTGAGGTCAGTTTTGTCAATCACCAAAACCTGAGGCTGATTTTATTCATTTTCTCTTGATACTCACGAGACGCGATGTGTCAGAATGTCGAACATGCTGCGTTTTTATAAAACGTGTGATTTCCATTTCAACATTTAAAAAGTAAAACATGATCAGTCCAGAGGTCACTGAGAAGTGATGGAGGCGATGGGAGGAGGCTGTTGAGTTCTATCAACTGTGAATGGAAATGTCACATGTCAGAAGACGTGCTAACTAACTGCTGATGAAAGAATAGCACCACCCGCCTGGAATACAAACAAGGAAGAAACAAACACAAAAAAAAACCTCACACAGAAACACCATGTCCTCTTTCCCTTTCTGTTTCCAAAACTACGGCTCACGCACATCGGAACATCTCGATATAATAAAAGAATAAACATGTAAAATGTGAAGATAATGTAAAATGTCACTCCTCGCTGTGTTTCTGTCATTCATCCTCTCAGGGACTGAGCGGGTCATTGTCGTGGTTAAAAAGCAGCTCGGGGACGTTCATGCATCTTCATCAGTATGAAGGCAGATGAGGAGGGTGATGGTGCTTTTGGAGGAGGAGCTTTGTTTTAGTGGGAAGAGAGCATGAGGCCAGGTGAACCAGAATGAGTTCAGTCCGTCAGTCAGGCAGGAAGGAAGGAAAACACGGAGTGGAGCAAACCTAACAGACACTTCGCTGTCGTCAACTCAGAGGCTCACACTCCCATTCCAGCTCTTTAAGTTTCCTTCAGACTCCTCCTCAAACATCTGGAGAACAACAGAACAACCTGTGATCGGTTCTGTGTTTGGAGAGAGTGGACCTCCACCATATCTCGTCATGTTAAAGATTCTGGATCTGCTCCAAATCCTCTCCTTCACAAAATATATTATTTAATGTGCAAACTCTGAATCTCAGCTCGAGTTCTTCTGCCTCCAGCAGTTTGGACTAATTCACTGGTGCAGTGTTTGATGTTCCACAGTGCAGAGTGAGTACGAGCCTCTGAGCGGACGCCAGTGTCTCACTTCTGTTCTCACGGTTTGCTCCTCTCGTCTATTTGTCACTTTCTGGCTGAGCTGCAAAGTCACAGTTCGGATCAAACCGACCGGTTGTTGTGTAAAGAATTAACTGACCGGTGTCAGTGAATCCACCACTAATTCAATTCACTTTGTCTTCTGGGTTAAATTGTTGTAAAAATGTCGTCAGTAAAAAACACATTCAAACGGTGGATCAGACATTTTATGAAGAATAAACATGTAGTTGGTTGGAACATGTGAAACCAGTGACGGTGGAAACGAGTTTTGTTTTGGTCTTTTCCTCCAGACACAAATTTATTTAGAATTGATTATTTAGAATTTGAAAAGATCGTTTTTTAACTAAAGGATAAAATCTTAATTCTGTTTCGCAGCTCAGCCGTGAAGGTGAAGACTTTCTTCTTCCAGTTTTTTTTTCAGTATGCATTTTCTAGGGCTTACTGGCGCCTCTATAGGCTGGTGATGGTATAGCGGCTCTGGGGTGTAGAGCTCCAAGTCGCACCCGCTGGCCGGGAGGCACATCACCTCCACCTCCTCCTCCTCCTCCTCCTCACCTCCTTCTGCTTCCTTCTGAGAGGAGCGAGGAGGTTGGGGGAGGATAATAAAAGGAACAAAAATAAAGAAAAAGGCACAGATGACAAAGTAATACCTACAAGACAATAAATTATAAATACACACAGAACAAGACACCGAGGAACCAAAATTATAAATAGACACAAAACATCAGGGGTCAGGTTCACACACATGGATTAAACCCAAACCTTCGACCTCGGATTCAAGAATAGAAACCTACAGATTAGTTTTAGTCAGTAGAAGCTCTAAAGATCTGAAGGTTGGAGATTTTATTTTTAGAATTAAATAAAAACTGACATTGAAATAAAAACATCAAATAACAGATATATCCAATCCTAACAGACAGAGATGGGGGAGATGATGATGATTTTAAAATCATGTCTTTGTTGAAACATCAAAAGTGAAACCAGCTCTAATGTCGACCGACAACTTCTCCGACACGTGAGCTTTAAATCGTCACCAGGTTTGAATCCATGTGTGCGAAGTGAGTCCTGATCGTAACGAATCAGACAAAACACAAATCCACAGCCGACACAGAATCTACCGACATCTACCTGAACATAACGTTCACAGCCATCGTTCACCGCAGAGAATCCTGTTTTGTGTGTTTTTACATCTGCCTGTAAATTACCATACGGTGTTAATAGAGAGTACACAGTGAACTTTTCTACAGCAGCTACAAGTGTGCGACTCTGATCCCATGTTTTCAAAGATGTCAGAATTATGTGACTTCACCAGACAACAGTTCATAAGCTCCTGCTTCTCTGTCTTTACCTGGAAATATATTATTTTTTAAAGAGCAGATTAGACTGAAAACATGCAGCGAATAAATGAATATATATGTGTGTTGTTGTTGTTGTTGTTGTTGTTGTTGTGAGTTTAACTATTGTTGTTACTGTTGTACAAAAAATTCCAAAAGTTTTGTTTGTAACATTTCTGCTTGACATTGCAATGTCGTACAAAACCATTGGCACATTGTTCCTTTTTCTAGTTTCAGTATCAACTCACACTGCGATGACAGTTTCAGTTTCCCAGCTCTGTGAAGACGAACACTGACCTGCTTGTCTGAGCGGCTGGCGATGCTGTAGACCAGAGGAGGGATGGAGCCTTCTTTGGTTTTACCAACATCACTGCGGAAGTGTTCGCTCGCAGGCAGACAACTGGGGAAACACACAACCACAGAAAGTTCAGGGCATAAATCAGAGGATACCGGGCGGTGACATGAGGCCCAGAGGAGACCGTTTCAGAGCGTGTACCTGGCGGGCAGCTTGTAGATGTAGCTGCAGCCGTCCTCGGTCCAGATGATGACTTTGTCTGCAGCGATGAATTCTCCTCCGGTCCAGGCCTGGTCGGTGTCACTGGGCACGGAGCAGAGCAGCGAGTAGTCACCGGCATCAAACACCTGAGACAAACACGTATGTAGGAATGAAACGCTGAGCTGAGGTCGGGTCAGGTCGTACGTCGCACTATTCTCTTACCCTCCAGTACTTGGAGCAGACGACCAGCAGGCTGCTCTGCGTGAAGGTGCAGAAGGAAATACTCTGACAGCCCTGACAGTAGATGGGTTTAGATTCTTCTTCAAACACGGGGTCCAGGTCCTGAACACACAAACACACGAGGTATAGACTCTGAGCTGATACACACATCAAGACTGTGGTTTGAAGGAAGAACTGAGAGATCGGCTTTATTTACACAGGTCCAAAAACATCTGTGTACTTTCATAGAAAACCTTCTCTCATTCACACAGGTCCAAAAACAAAGAAAGAAAGAAAGAAAGACAGATCAATGAGGATGACGAAGAGGAAGATGAAGGTGTTTTATTGTGTTTGTGTTGAATAACGGGAGGACCGAGGAGACAACTACTTCCTGTGTTTACTGGTGAACTCGGCATTTTTCAGAAAGGTCATTAGCAGATTTTCCCAGCAGACGTCTGACTCGAGGCTGATTGCTTGATTATAACAAACGGCGGTGTACCTGCATCCTGCTGACCTCAGCTGTGATGATCCAGACCTTCAGAATCCCAGTGACTGACACCGCCACCACTGTGTCCTCTACAGAGACAGAGACATTAACGTCAGAGTCGTATAACTGAACACACGTCTGCCCAGCAGCAGGTCACAGCTCCACGCCTCCGCCCGTGTCTCTCACCTTGTGTGCGGTGAGATCGGATGATGCTCATGGAGCTGATCCAGTCAGGGGAGATCTTCGACACCAGCGAGTACAGGACCTCCAGGCTGGTGGCATCCACCACAAGGATTTCTGGGTAATGGCCGTTGCAGAGCAGACGTCCCTCCCTTTGAGTGCCGATGGTGAACTGATAGAACTGGAGAACCGAGGAGGACGAGGAGGGAGACACAAAAAGATGAGAGATGAGAGAACCTTCCAGACGTCCACTGTCATTAACATTTCCTGGTGTCACTTTCAAGTGAATAAAAAGAAAAAGTATTGGAATTCAGAGCAGCTCTTTATCCCTCATTAACAACAGACCTTTATTTTAAGTTTCTTATTAGAATCTCTGCTTTTATTTTAGAACTTATAGAATGTGTGTGTGTGTGTGTGTGTGTGTGTGTGTCTTACTTGTATGCCAGTGTGAGCGCAGGCCAGCTTAGTGAACTCAATACAGCGTCCATCGTTCACATCCCATAAACACATCTCCCTGAAACATGAGTAAAGTGAGGTTGGACATAATTGAGCAATTTACAACAGTTGAAGGTTTAACTTATAAAGTTCACTTTGTTTGAAAGTGTGTGTGTGTGTGTGTGTGTGTGTGTTAAGAATGTACTCACCCACTCTCCGATGCACTGACAATATACTGCTTGTCACTCGACGTGCTGGCTTTAGAAAGACAGGTGATAGAAGCCGTGTGTCCAAACAACATGGCTCTGGGACAAATCTGAGGAGGAAACAGA